GGGCTCCAGTAACCACTTAACACCAGGTGGGCTGTGAGCTCGTCTATCCATCTAAGGAATAAAAAAATACTCATACTCAACCACAGTCAAAATAAAAATACGAGAGGTAACATGAATGTGTGATTGCTGAAGGTTGACTGCCTGTTGGTATTATTGATGTTGCTAATGAAACAGATTATGATCGGATCGGATAAAAATCGCCTGCGGGTCTACGTAAGATAAAAATGCTGTCTTTACGAATATCAGAAATTTAATTTTTTCCTCCGATTGTAAACTCATGTCAGAAGAACTTTTTGCTTTCTTTCCTTTTACATTCTTTCTATGCCCTATCAGCTAGAATCTCGATCAACTCAATACAAATCATCGGCAAATAACTAAATACCGAGTTAATAAATTTTAACAAACAATAATGCGACAGATAATTATTTTAGTACTTAGCAGAATTCATTAATATAATGACAGTATTGTGTTAAAAGCAAATGTTTATTTCATGGCCTCAATAGAACAACGAGGTTATTGACCTCCAAGGTTTATCCTTAGCAAATAAACCCATAGAACAAACCGATGTGAAATGACATAACACTATGTATATAGTACCTGCCTAAAGTACTTTTAACACCTAAAGATACATACAGTAACTTAAATATTTTATATCTCTGACTTGTGTTTCTTCTTGAAAACTCAATCTTTTTTGATAACAAAACCATTGTCATTGCTGGTTACATTATTAATAAAACAGGGCTTAATATTATCAATATTATACAATCTCAAATAAAATATATTGAGATTTTTTTAGAAAGGTGTTGATTTGAATGAAACCCGAACCAATGTTTTTTTAGATTTTAGCGAATCGAAGACATAATGAAAATATTTTTACGGTTTAATTTCGCGTTTTTTTAATTGTAACGTCGCAAATAATATAAATATTTGCGACGTTTCGAGTAGGTACTACACAGTTTTCGTGGTCACGGACGACTAAGGTATTAGGTATTCATCGAAATTTGAATATTCTGCTAACTGCCTGCCGTCTATTTTTGTATAAAATTATTTCTAGATTTTTTACATTTCGTTTCACACAGAATAAACTAACAGTATCTTGAGGTCATTTTACAAGAAATTTGCAAGAGAAGTTGCAAGTCTTTGTGGCCTAAAAATAAGACGTCTAGTGCACTCATATCTTGCGATGCAACGGTGTTCGAATCCCGCAGGCGGATATCAGTTTTTATAATGATATACGTACTTAACAAATGTTCACGATTGACTTCCACGGTGAAGGAATAACATCGTGTTATAAAAATCAAAACCGCAAAAATTATAATTTGCGTAATTACTGGTGGTAGGACCTCTTGTGAGTCCGCACGGGTAGATATCCACCACCCTGCCTATTTCAGTCGTGAAGCAGTAATGCGTTTCGGTTTGAAGGGTGGGCAGATATTGTAACTTAGAACTCATATCTCAAGGTGGGTGGAGGTATTTACGTTATAGATGTCTATGGGCTCCGGTAATCACATAACACCAAGTGGGCTGTGAGCTCGTCCACCAATCTATGCAATAAAATAAACAACACAATTGGGATTGTTTTAAGCCAGATTGATAAACAAGACTGTAAGCCTTAACAATGTTCATCATGATTACCCTCATGCTTAATGCTGTAATTAGAAAAGCTCTTTTTTGTTTTGAGGTTATCAATAAAAACATAATAGAACTGATTTCATCTTTTGAAAAATGTATTATAAGCCTGTTCAACAAAACTGACATTTGAGTCATACGAGAGGGCGGCACTGAAAATTTCGGGAATTAACGAGGTGACACAACATTACTATTTAAAAATGTATTTATTGCTTTTCGAAGTATTCTCCGCGAAATTTGACACATTTTTCCATACGATGGAACCAATCATTGAAGCAACCATTCCATTCGGAAGTTGGGGTCTCCAAAATGGCCGTTTTGTAGGCGTCCACAGCTTCTTCAGGTGATGAAAATCTCTGTCCACGCAATTTATTCTTTATTTTAGGGAAAGTATAGAAATCATTAGGGCTTAGGTCGGGGCTGTACGGCGGATGGTCTAATAATTCTATGTTTTCTTGCTCTAAAAACTCTTTTGTTCTGTGCGCGGTGTGAGAACTCGCATTGTCGTGATGGAGGATGATGCGGCGGTTGCAGTTCTCTTTACGGAGTTCAGAAACGACCTGTGGCAAACAAATGCTAGCATACCATTCTGCATTAACCGTTCTTTGTCCCTCAAGAGGAATAGTCGTAACATGGCCGGTTTTGGAGACAAACGTGGCCACCATTTTTTTTGCAACACTCCGTGAACGAACAATTTTTGTTGGCTTTAACTCATTTTCGAACACCCAAACTCGTGACTGGTTTTTTGTTTCGGGTTCGTACGCGTATATCCAGGATTCGTCACCTGATACAATGTTGTATACAGCATTTGAGGATCCTGCGTGGAATCTTTCGAGAGTTCTGACGCACCAAGTAACGCGAGCCGCTTTTTGCTCTTCACAGAGCGAATGCGGTATCCATCGGGAAAACAACTTTTTTACACCTAATTGTTCATGCAAGATTATTTGTATTTGACTCATGCCAATGTCTAAAGTTGCCTGAATTTCGCGGTATGTCACATGTCGATCTTCCTCAATCAGCTTACGCACAGCATCAACGTTTTCTTGGGTGACTGCAGTTTTTGGACGACCTTGACGGGGATCATCACTGAGCTTGACACGTCCACGTTGAAACTCAGCAAACCAGCGATAAATTGTGGTTTTGGATGGGGCTTCATCACCAAATGCAGAAATCATCCGGTCAACACACTGTTTTTGTGTTAAACCACTTCGAAAGTCATAATAAATCATCGCTCTTGAATTTTCTCGAGTCAATTCCATTTTCTCAACGACTAAACAAGTTTGACAAAACCTCTTGACAAGACCGAGAATCTTTTTTAAATAAATAAATGGTATTCGATTTTTAAAACCAAGGAGTTTTCAATTAAAAAGATTTTAATATGACAGGAACAGTGGAAATATTCCATTCCCGATACTTTTAGTGCAGCCTAGTACACAGACTAAATAATTACATTGGTTGTGTAATAATTCTTAATAAAATATCTATTTCTATAAAATCAATCATGACGACACTTGAAGAAAAACAAGGGTCAAACATGTCTAATTAAGAATTATTTTCTGTAATCAACAAGCCTATTCTTCGAAATGTTTATTAATCAACGAAATTAGAGAACAGGTCAATGTGCAATTGCCGAATTTCGATAAATAAAAACCAAACAAAAACACATTTTAATAGTAAACTAAGTTAGAAAACTATTACACGGTCGGTGTAGACAGAAAATGACACACAATACTCGGAAGGCACTGACTAGATTTAAATTGGGACGAATTGTCTCGGTTTCATAACAAAAAGACTATTAAAAAAAACCTTATCGGTATCTTATATAATCAAAGTGTATTCTTGTTGTGATCGAGCATACTATTCATGGATGCTAAGGACTTAAGCATTGAACACAGTTTCTTGATAGAGCGTTATCAGCAAACCATAAAGTCAATACGTTTTCGAGCAAGATGTTTATCATACGGCTTCCATTGATGGTCCAGCTGTGTTCGTTAATGCTGTTTACAATTTACAAGCGGTTTTTACCTTATCTCAGCCGGTGACGTGCAGCAGTAATGAATGAGTAAACACTGCTGGTACTTTATAGTCTCGTTATCGTAATAATTTTTGATCGTACTGTCATTTTCTTAATGTTACTTGAATGTAAATGTAGCGGAACCTTCTACTGATATATGAGTCGTCTATTATCAAAGGTGGCAATCTGGACATTGGTGCATTTGGACAAAAAAAAATTATTGAAATGTCAATACAGATTTATTTGAATATAATCGTCTCCTTCAAAGAATACGGTTCAAAACCTGCATTAAATAAAGGTTAATAGTTAACCTGTTATTTATCTAAGATGTCGTTCCGAAGAGTTTTGTGACTGCCAATGGAATACAAAGTCAATAATTCGTTTTTCTGATTTACCNTATTTGAATATAATCGTCTCCTTCAAAGAATACGGTTCAAAACCTGCATTAAATAAAGGTTAATAGTTAACCTGTTATTTATCTAAGATGTCGTTCCGAAGAGTTTTGTGACTGCCAATGGAATACAAAGTCAATAATTCGTTTTTCTGATTTACCAATCATTGTCCAAAAGTCAGATTGTCGCCTTTGATAATAGTCGACTCATATTACATGTGTATTGTTATTTAAATAATAAATTTATTTTGTTTAGATGTGCAGTGATATTCTGAAATCGATGTAGAACTTCTGTACATAATTGTTACTATGTACCTATATAAAAAAGAGATTCGTTGAGTTGGCGTTTCAAATTACTGCGAATGGGGCTTTTAAAGGCTCGTTGAGATAAAAAGAAAATTGTTTTTTTAGGTATTTATATTGAATTACCATTAAGAAATATAGTAATTTTATAATTGAATTTGTCACGTACATACGTGTATACATTAAATTTTAAAATATAGTTTCATAAAATTTCTATAATATTTTTGTTTTACGCTCTCAAGTCTAGTAATATTTACATAATCACTTAAGAATTACAAAATTAAATTCAAGGACATTCTTGCTTGTCATTGTTGTTCTGAATAAGTTGTTTCAATGGTACATTCCGCATTTTTAGCCACTTCCATTCGTAATAGCTTGTTCTTGACGGAGATTAACAATATTCTTGTTCTTGAAACGTTTTGAAGCAGTTACCGTTTCGGGTGTTCGAATTAAAATAATCGTGAAAGATCTTGAAACTTGTTTGTGAATTTCGGATACCTATTAGGGTATTACTGATCCAGATATCGAAATGCGCATTGCCCGTACCGCGCTGGAGACGGGAGTTGCGTGCGCGCACCTCTGTTTAGTGAGAGAGAGACCGTCCATTCGGATTTCGGTTCGCTCGGCAAGCCGGCATTCGACAACTAGTCGCATTACTCGCATTTCGTCTCGTCCCGCCTCGTTGAGCGCCCGCGCTTCGCTTCCTCATACTTCATACGTGCATAGTGCACTCAACTGCGTCTGTCTTATCACACTAGCATTTCTTCTGATGATGACCTGATAAATTGTATCGATCGTAGTCAATAACAGTGACATCGACCGTTCGCGGGTGCAGTGTTAACACAGTGATGGCCGAGAAGCACGCACTCATACCAGACCCGATTACGATGTACACGCAAAAGGAAACCATGAAGGAAGTGAAGGATGCGTCCAAGAACTTGATGGGTGGTGATTTTGAGAGGCAGTACGGAGGCCCGACAATGAACAAGTGCGATCGGCGAATGAAAGCTTGGGTAGTGACGGTGACTGCGACTATCATTGGGCTGCTATTGGCGTTGCTTGTTCTGGTAATCGTGAGGGAGATCCACATAGCCCGCTTACGGAGCGAAATCGATGATCTTACTGCAAACATGATTGCGATGTCGGCAAATGTGAAATTACTTAACCAAAAATACAACAACAAACACTTCAACGACTTCAAGCCTATGGAGGATACTGTAAGTATCGTTTTTTTTTTGTTTATCTCTTAAAATATTTTTTTAACGTAAACAATTTTATTAATTGCTACATCAAAAAGCAACGTTTGTGAGCAATAAAACTTAAGTATTAAAAACATAAATAGTTCGTTGAAACTATTCTTATATCATGTTACATAGTCGTATATTCATAATTTAATATGTTTTAGAACGTCGTGTAAATCATTAAGTAAATAGGTCAAACATTCCAGAATAAGGTCGCTTAATATTCAGATGAAGTAAACAAATAATTAATTAAACGTATTCCGTATTCTGAACAGATCTGACATCTAGGTAAACTTGAAGAGAACAGAGACTACACGTGTCTCGCGTAACTCATCTAATTAACGATGTATTAAAAAGAGATAAGATGCCGTCAAGTGGTGTCAAGCATAAACATTGTACTTCGCCCAAGGTCTCTATTTAAACTCTAATGTAACCATTCTACTCAATTGAGACGCCAATCAAATGATTATATTATAGTCCGTCAACGGTTAATAAAATGTTGTTTGACACTTCTATGAAATTACTTATAAGGATTCGCAGAAATTAGACTAGTAGTGGAAGTTTGAACGAAATAAATCTAAGATAATATTATTAAAATATAAACATATATGCGAACGTGATTATTGGCGAAATCCGTTTCGTGTTTCCTAATTTGGATTTCGTTGATTTTCGGAGTGTCAGCGCGGGTCGTCTAACGCGACAAAACTGGTTTCTTGGGATAACAAACCAGTCCGAAATGTAAACAAAAAGTTGCTCGTCGCATGCGGCGCCTCTGTCTCAGCTTGCGTAATTCATGCTTCTGTTACTACGATCCGGAACACCATCGTAATCCCTACATATTTTTTTCCTACCTAAGCTGATAGCCTTGAGAGGCTATTTCAGCGTAACCTTAACTAGTAGGTGAACTCACGGGGCTCAAAACTGACGACGTTGCTAACACGAACCTTAGCAAGAGTCATGCTTTGCAGAATCTACCACCGGATCGGAAACACGACCCACTGAGAAGATCCGGCGAGAAACTCAGTGGGCTGTGTCTGTGGGTTAATTTACTCGTCGAGCCCTTCGTCGCAAGCGACGGGTTCGACAAGAACGATGACCGGTGCTTGAGGTACCTAAAAGCACCGTTAGTGGATCGGGAGGATCCGAAATGACGTCTTTTGGGCGACGTCGACTGCTTTCCATTCTGTCCGCAGGATTGGGAATGTTACTACATAGATTATAATTATAAATATATAAACATATATTATGGTCCCTTTTGATGCTTTGTTTGCAAGGCTAAACTTTTTGTAAGATGCAACAAAATACAATTGATTTTTTTAATTCAACTTATTGGATGATGAACTTATGGATATGTTTATGGATGTTTTTGTAACTGCCATAAATTCAAAATTCTCCGACACAACGAAAACAGTAGCATCGCAACACTCGATTTTATAGACGTAAAACGACATTTTAATTTAAACTTGACAATAAAATAGAAGCACCTAATAAAACTATGTAGTTGATTTTTTTAAGTTTACCTAAGGATTAATCAACAGTAAATCATAAATAAAGCTGTCAATAAAAGGTACCACAGTAATAAAGATCTCAGTAAGCTGTCAGAAATTAAAATGGCTATAAAGCTGAAAGAGTGTCATTAATTTCCAATGGAACTACCGTTTTAACGTTTCAGAACGTATTAAAAATGACGGGACTAAAATAGCTTTGTTAATATTATAGCTGAAAAAACTCAACCCACCTGAGAATACGTTGTATTACGAAATATACATACATACATACATACATATTATTATGTATTGTCTTCATGTCATTGAGAATTTAAAAAGACACCGCATTATATGTACATGCGCATGAGAAGTTACTAGATATGGCATTCGCTGGTTTAATACATGTAACGATGATTTGTACCACGGGGCGCGAATTCGATTCCCGTAGGGTCAGTATAAACGTATTCCCGATTCTATGGACCGAATGGTAAACAGTCGACGTCGTCCTGGCTGAGCCTTTGCTCGCCCACCTGTCCTGGTGAAACTGGAAAGGCCTCCGGGCCACCAGTAATCCTTCAATCATAAAAAAAAGTTCCATTAACGGTGCTTTCAGGTACCTCAAGCACCGTACTCGCCGAATCCGTCGCTTGCGACGAAGGGCTTGGCGAGTAAATTAACCCATAGACACAGCCCACTGAGTTTCTCGCTGAATCTTCTCAGTGGGTCGCGTTTCCGATCCGGTGGTAGATTCTGCTAAGCACTGCTCTTGCTAGGGCCAGAGTTAGCAATACCTCCAGTTTGAGCCCCGAGAGCTCACCTACACGGCTCATATAGCCTCTCAAGGCTATCAGGATAGGTAGGAAAAAAAAGAAAAAGAAATCGTACCAGTCGGGATATGGACATTATATCCACCATCTCTTTTGAAACGTGAAGTCGAAATCTCAATCGTTTTATATAACGGCTGTTCCACCCTTCAAACTGGAATGTATCCTTGTTCCGCGGCTGAGGTAGGCAGGGTAATAAAGAACATAAACAGTTTTGTTTCTAGTATTCATGGTTAAGATTGCAGCGTTTATAATACCTAATTTGACATTTTGCAAAAGATAAGAATATTAATTGATGCTGATGACAGAATCAAAATTTTAACGATTATTTAACGACCAATTCTATTCGTCGATATTTAGAGATTAAATTTAATTTAATAAAATTATAGTGGCTTAATGAAAATCAAAAATTATTTTACGTAAATGTCACCGTCGAATAGCATTTTAACGATACCTACATACATACAAGTTTTGACCGGATGAGATTGTTTTTCGAGCAATTTAGATTTATTTATTTGATAAAGTTGAGTTATTCCATTTGGCCGAGATACGCGAACACCGGTAGGCGAACGCCCATAAAATTTCGCCGAATAAATATAGACACGTCGTTTGTAAGTTTACAAACACACGTTGGCCTAGTGCCAGTATTTCAGCTGCCTTAGAATTGCAATAGTTCACTGTGTTCCTTGATTTGCTTGTTGTGGAACATAAACACATTCATTCGGCTACCTAAATACCTCGCTGTTTGTTGAAACTTGTTTACTGAAATATTCGCAAAATTTCGCTTTGACCTCTTTCAGTCCAAGACCAGTCGTATGAAAGAAAATAAAGACAATTGAGTGTTTTCAAGATAAAGATTTGATTTATTGACTCAGATGGCGAGTTCGAGTTCGAGTTTTAATTTTAGATTTGTTTTTTGAATCCAGACAGAATCATATTTTGTAATTAAAATCTTAAACCATCTATCTCCCTTATATTGAAGAATGATTTAAACAATTAATATTTAATTAGTAATACTTTTTTTATCACAATACATTTTAAAACATTAAGTATTTTTAACTCTAAAAACCGTTATGAATTATATAAGATATAAGAAAATAAAATCTCCAATCAAGGAGACAGAGCGGGAAATAGATTTATTTCATGTCCCGAAAATAGAACGAATGAAATTTTTCAATGTTTGTTCAAAGCGCATTGGTTTATTTGTGGCACCGCATACGTTTCTGTGAAGTTTCAATGTATTTGAAGCCAGATGAAGTTTATAATTTGGCGTGATGCCTTTACGGCATAATTACAAAGTTATTAGCGTTTAATGACGAAGAACTCAAAATTACTTATTTTAGATTTGAGAAAAAAGTAAACAGGAATTGGGTCTTGCGTATTTTTAACACGTTCTTATTAGCTTTGTTTGTAGATCTGTATGTTTTCTGGTTAACTACATACAAAAAAAAACATGTCGGAGTCTTCGTACGTCATTTTCAACGCATTAAACATCCGGTTAACTTGAAAATTTGCACATGCATCAAGGACCAATGATAATACAATAATATTATAAGCTTACTCTATTATGCTGGCCAGTTTCAACAGGTTAAAAAAGTATGAGTTAAATTTGTTACATCGGTTTGTTATTTACGTGTGTTTTTTTTAGCGTTTAAACTGCATAATTTATTAACAATGTTATTAAATCGTGTAATGGGATTCGGGTACCTCTGGTATTATTATGAAAAGTACAATACGTAATTTTACCATCAATTCTCTCAAGTGGTGCAAGCCAGCGTGGCATCATTCGGTTATGCCAACGGCATCTATAGCGTATTGGCTTAATGACAGAATAAAAAACATTTAAGTGAAATGCATGCATCTTTGAAATGAATAACCAAGATAATGTTGTTTATCAGAATAAATTAGAAAGGTCTTTCCGGTTTGGATGCGAAATATTCTTGGACGCGTATGAGAGGTGTGATGAAAGTATAAAAAAAAATTGTATTTATTTAAATTTCAGTTTTGAGCACGAGAAGTCTTTCGTCAATTATTATTAATAGCAAAAAAGTAAAAAAAAACAGAAAAAAAATCGACCTCACTTTATCTGTCGTCTAAGAAATTTGATTTAACATCAATTGGGTAGCACACGGTTTCATTTAATTTTATACAAATCTTTATAAGAAAGTAGTCATTTATTATATAGTAAGTTAAATTTGAAATTGTGCTTAACAATTTTGTTACGTATTATTTCAGTTTCGCACCTATTGACATTCAATTGTTATTATTGTTTGGCAATCAAATTACAGAGTTTATTTTAAGAGTGATGAGAGATACCACCGTGGTAAAGCGTATTGCAAGCCCGCCCAGGTTAATACCAGCTCACTATCTTATTCTTTCCACGAGGCTGTCATGTATGGCTTAATGGGTGAGGCAGCCATTTTAGCCCACTGAATTTCTTGCTGTATCTTCGGTTCGGTGCTAGATTCTGCGAAGCACTGCTTTTGTTAGGGCTAGTGTTAGCGATTTCTTTCAGATTAAGCCCGTGAGCTCACGTACCCAAGCGTTGATGGAATAGCTTCTTAGAATACGAGTGAATAGGTAGGGGAAAAAATCAACTATTATATGTGCAAACAAAATAATCGAGACTTTGAACTTGCGGCACAAGGCGGATAGCGATTGTTAC